CGCAGTGGCACAACCTCAGCTCACTGCAACCTCTGCCTCCTGGGTTCAAGTGATCCTCCTGCCTCAGCCTCCCAAGTAGCTGGGATTACAAGCGCCCATCACCACACCCAGCTAATTTTTTATTTTTTATTTTTTTTGAGACTGAGTCTCACTCTGTTGTCCAGACTGGAGTGCAGTGTCCTGATCTCCGCTCACCGCAACCTCTGACTTCCTGGTTGAAGCAATTCTCCTGCTTCAGCCTCCCGAGAGTAGCTAGGATTACAGGCATGCACCACCATGCCCAGCTAATTTTTGTATTTTTAGTAGAGAGCATTTCACCATTTTGGCCAGGATGGTCTCGATCTCCTCGTGATCTGCCCGCCTTGGCCTTCCAAAGTGTTAGGATTATAGGTATAAGTTACTGTGCCTGGCTAATTTTGTAGTTTTTTTAGTAGAGGTGGGGTTTCGCCATGTTGGTCAGGCTGGTCTCGAACTCCTGACCTCAAGTGATCCACAGCCTCAGCCTCCCAAAGTGCAGGGATTACAGACGTGAGCCATGGCACCCAGCCTGACAAGGGTCTTCAGCTCACCCCTCAGTGCCTCCCGACCCACCATACAGAGCACAAAGTTTGAACCGTAAGGCAGAATGTAAACATGGGGAAACAAATAAAATGTTAAAAAATAACCAGCCAAACAAAAAAATCCCTAATGGTGGAAATGCTGTTTTCATTTGGTAGCAATGATTACCACTGTGATCCTCTACTGCCACAATGTCAGCCCCTGATGCCGAAACTTGGTGACACTTCTGCGTTTGTCCTCAGTGAGGGCTGAGGTCCACGACCTGGGAACTCCCAGAATGGGTGACTGATGCCAAGGATGTGGACCGGACTCTGTAAGGACTGGCACCTTTCTTTTGTGCGCCCCAGACTTTTTTGTTGGGTGCTGGATTCTGACTGGTCTCCTTCCCCATCAGTTGCTACTAAAATACCTGAAACCATAAAATGCCCCTTTGTCAAGGATGGATGCTGGTTTTGTGAGGCGTAAACAAATACATCTCTGCTGCAAATTTTACATAAACGAGCGACCAGGTGGCCTTAAGGGAGGTCAGAGCTGAGGTCTTGTTCATTTGCTATTTGTTGCTCGGTGCTCCCAACACCCAATTGTTGCACTTGACAACAAACACATGAATTTAAAAAGGAGAGTTCAAGCCGGACAGGGTGGCTCACCCCTGTAATCCCAGCACTTTGGGAGGCTGAGGCGGGTGGATCACGAGGTCAGGAGTCCAAGACCAGCCTGGCCAACATGTTGAAACCATGTCTTTACCAAAAATACAAAAATAAACCGGGCATGGTGACGTTGTGCCTGTAATCCCAGTTACTTGGGAGGCTGAGGCAGGAGAATTGCTTGAGCCTGGGTGACAGAGGTTGCAGTGAGCCAAGATCACGCCACTGCACTCCAGCCTGGGTGACAGAGGTTGCAGTGAGCCGAGATCACGCCACTGCACTCCAGCCTGGGTGACAGAGCAAGACTCCATCCCAAAGTTAAGGGCAAAAAGAAAAAAAGAAGGAGAGTTCGTAGGCTAATATGGGTTGTTGACATAAATATTCTGTGTGTGATTGTATTCAACACATTCCATGTTTTGGTTAATTGTGCTTTTAAAAACTATATGTCATCCTGGTAAATATATACACCTACTGGGTGCCCACAAAATTAAAAATTAAAAAATCGTAATACCCTACAAATAAGAAGGGAGACCAAGCATGTAGAGAAATAAATGTCTCAACACGTGATAAGAATATATTGGAATGGCCCTTCTGTTATTTTGACAGTGATAGTAAATCTCCCCTTGCTGGGGGGCAGTGGTTCATCACTGTAATCCCAGCATTTGGGGAGGCCGAGGCAGGAGGATTGCTTGAACCCAGGAGTTGGAGGTCAGCCTAGGCAACATGGAGAGACCTCGTCTCAACAACAACAAACAAAGCGCAGGTGTCTTGCATTTGCAATTCGTAGGTTTCCTGCACAATTCTGTCACTTCGCATCAATTCCGTGTGTGTGTGATGGAGGGATTTGGGGTAGGGGATGCTATTTTTGCTTCATTTCCTGACGCTGACGGGCTGGGCGGCGGGGTCCCTGGAGTACCGGGCACCTTTGGACGTGTTTGGCTGGGAGAGTCCCGGCCCAGCCCTGGCACGTAGGGCCTTCCACTGGCCGCCGCCAGGGGACGCGCGAGGCTGCAGATGCGGCTTTGGAGTGAAGCCCGGAGGGTCCAGGGGCGGGGCGGCCGAGGGGCGTGGCCGCGTGCAGCCGGCCCAGATTCCTTTCTGGCCAGTTCCTTTCAGGAGCTGCTCCCAAGTCTACAGCGCCCTCTGCTACTCACCCTGCGGTCTTGTAGCTGAGCGTTATTTTCCCACCATCGTTAAGCCTGTTTTCCCATGCTCATTTGCTGCCAAGTTTCCATCTCACATCCTTTGCGTCCCCCTTTCCTGCACCCTCCTTTGCATCTCCATTTCCTGCCTTGCTTTGAGCCCACATTTCCCAGCCCTCCTTTGCACCCTACATTTTCCCACACTCTCTTGCATACCTATTTATCACCTTCTTTTGTGCCCCCATTTCCAGGCCCTCAGCCCCTGGCTCTCAGGCTCCTTATTTCAAATGACCTCTTTTTTGTTTTTTGAGACAGGGTTTTGCTCTTGCTGCCCAGGCTGGGGTGCAGTGGCATGATCTCGGCTCACGGCTCACTGCAACCTTCGCCTCCCAGGTTCAAGTAATTCTCCTGCTTCAGCCTCCCAAGTAGCTGGGATTATAGGCATGTGCCACCATGCCAGGCTAATTTTGTATTTTTAGTAAGACTGGGTTTCTCCATGTTGGTTAGTCTGGTTTCGAACTCCTGACCTTAGATGATCTGCCCTTCTTGGGCTCCCAAAGTGCTGGGATTACAGGTGTGAGCCACTGAGCCCGGCCTCAGATGACCTCTTAAAGAAAGCTGTGGGCCGGGCATGGTGGCTCACGCCTATAATCCCAGCACTTTGGGAGGCCGAGGCGGGTGGATCACGAGGTCAAGAGATGGAGACCATACTGGTCAACATGGTGAAACCCCGTCTCTACTAAAAATACCAAAAAAAAAATTAGCTGGGTGTGGTGGCGCACACCTGTAGTCCCAGCTACTTGGGAGGCTGAGGCAGGAGAATTGTTTGAACCTGGGAGGTGGAGGTTGCAGTGAACTGAGATCTTGCTATTGCACTCCAGCCCAGGTGACAGTGCAAGACTCCATCTCAAAAAAAAAAAAAAAAGAAAGATAGCTGTGGAAGGACACACTCCTGGCTGTGACGGTGCCCATGGGCCAGGAGGAGACAGCACACCTCTGTGAACACTGTGCTTAGTTCTCCATGTTCCAGGAAGCAGGTGATTTGACCAACATTCATTAAATTAATTAAAGTGTAAGCTATTTCTCCCATTTGAGCCATACCCCTTCCCCCAATCCATGAAGGATCTGGACCCAGACACGCCCCGGCGCAGGACTGGACAGAGAGGGGTTGGGGTGGGGCAGTGTGGCCCTCATGAGGTGAGGGTGGGACAAAGTGGCTACGGACTTCGGGTTCTGGGCCTGGAGGTCTTCAGCGCCCACATACAGGTTTTTGGTCCTGAAATGCTAACTACATCTATCATCATGGAGAAAAGCTCAGTGACCTGCTACTTGGGAGGCTAAGGTGGGAAGATTACTTGAGCCAGGGAGGTTGTGGCTGCAATGAGCCATTGCACCACTAGATTCCAGCCTGGGCAATGGAGCAAGATCCTGTCTCAAAAGAAAAGCCCAGTGACCAACAGCACACAGCTCCAGGACTCTTTGCCTCACAGGTTCCTGCCTTCATGTTACTCTTGGGGCTTCAGAGCCTGACCTTGGCCTTGCTTCCTGTGTGGCCTCAGGCAAGTCCCTTGGCCTCTCTGGACCCTGTCTGAAGGATGGCTCAACTGGGGGCTGGGGATTGTGGGGCCTGGTGGCTCGTAGCTAGATTCCTGCATCACAGAGCCTCCAGATCCATTCATTCATTCTCCGTGGGTTTCTTCTTTTTTCGTGACATGGAGTTTCGCTCTGTTGCCCAGGCTGGAGTGGTGCGATCTCAGCTCAGTGCAACTTCTGCCTCCTGGGTTCAAGCAATTCTTCTGCCTCAGCCTTCCACGTAGCTGGGACCACCGGTGCATGCCACTATGCCTGGCTGATTTTTTTTTTTTTAATGTGACATTTGGATAGCATGGTTTTTGTATTTTCAGCAGAGACAGGGTTTCACCATATTGGTCAGGCTGGTCTCAAACCCCCGACCTTGTGATCTGCCCACCTTGGCCTCCCAAAGTGCTGGGATTACAGGCATGAACGGGTTTCTTAAGTACTGCAGTGCCAGGCTTTGGGGGCACAGCTGTATTTTTTTTTTTTTTTGAGACAGTCTCACTCTGTTCCCTACA